CCCCCCTCCCTCCTCTCCCTCCTCTCCCCCCTCCCTCCTCTCCCTCCTCCCCAGCTGTCCTTGGAGCTGCTGGTTCAGCTGGAGGCTGCAGTGTTTCTGCTGAGTAGCTGTGAAACAGCATTCACTCTCTGCTCCCCAGCAGACACTTTTCAGCCCAGCCAGAGTCTCTGAGGGAGGAAGGAACTACRTTACCCAGAATCCTTTGCCAGAGCTTCACACTGTGTTCTGCCTGAGCAGAGCCCCGTGGAACTCTGGGAGCWGTGGTCCTCCATCATCAGCTGCTGCTGGAGGCTGAGGGAGGAGAGGGAGACGGGCCATGACAACATCAAAGAGAGGCGCAGTGAGAGGTGAGAGCAGCTGTTTGTGTGTTTGTTTGTTTACTTGTAATCTGTCTGTCTCTCTGTGTGTGTGTCTGTGTGTGTCATCCCTCTTCATCATCACTGCCTTCATCTCCTCTTCATTCTTCATCTTCTTCTGTCAAACATCTTCGTCCTTTTGTGTCTGACGCTGCGTTTTCCTGCAGGAACGTTGTGTGTCTGTTTCTTATAGCAATGTGTGTGTGTGTGTTTGTGTGTGTCTATGTGTGTATTTGTGTGTTTGTGTGTCAGAAAGACAGAGGGAGAGCATCTCAGCCCACATCAGCTTCCTGTCCTTTCATGCTAAACTGTAAATGACTCACAACATGAAAAAATATAAAAAAAATCATGACAACAACCTGTAAATAACATGACAACAATATGTAAATAACCTGACAACAATCTGACAACCTGTAAATAACCTGACAACAACCTGACAACAACCTGTAAATAACCTGACAACAACCTGACAACAACCTGTAAATAACCTGACAACAACATGACAGCAACTAGAAAACAACCTGTAAAAAATCGACAACAATCTGACAACAACCTGCAAATAACCTGACAACAACCTGCAAATAACCTGACAACAACCTGTAAATAACCTGACAACGACATGACAACAACCTGTAAAAAACCGACAACAATCTGACAGCAACTAGAAAACAACCTGTAAAAAACCTGACAACAATCTGACAACAACCTGTAAATAACCTGACAACAACCTGTAAATAACCTGACAACAACCTGCAAATAACCTGACAACAACATGACAACAACTTGACAACAGCCTGTAAATAATCTGACAACAACCTGTAAATAACCTGACAACAACCTGTAAATAACCTGACAACAACCTGTAAATAACCTGACAACAACCTGTAAATAACCTGACAACAACC